GGCCCGAAGATCAGGACCATCCAGTCCTGGTTCTGGTCCTGATTCAGTTTTTTTAGAGCTGGATGCTAGTTTAAAAAAAAAAAAAAAAAGATTTTTTATCCTTTTTTTAAATTTTTTTAACCATGTTTAATATTTTAATGTTTGTTTTTTTAATTAATACTTTATGACTGTTTGATTTTTTAAAAAATTAAACATTTTATTATTTTTATATATTTTATTTCCTGAAATATTTGAATTAAAATGTTAAATATCAGATTTCTGATGTTGTTTTTATGGATGTTTGTTTTTTTTTTATGAGTTTTTGACTCTTTGTGTTTTAAGTTTTTTTCAGACGTTGAGTTGAGAGTCCAGACTCGTTCACTTTAATATTTTCACTCAGATTAAAATCTGTGAGTTACAGAAAATCCAGATAAGAACCAAAGACCTTCAGAGTTCATCAGCTGCACCGGTGAATCTAGGTTCTCCTGATCTAGGTCTGTGTCGATGGTCGTGGTGGCGTTGGTAAATCTAGGTTCTCCTGATCTAGGTTCGGTGATGACGATCGGTTCTGATCCAGAGTCAGCGTCTACTTCCTGTCTGTTTTTTTTTTTACACGTTTGTCGTCTCGCTGCAGCGAGGCGTGCAACTGCAGCGTCTGTTCCTCTCTGTGGTCAGAGGAGGAAGGAGGAGGAGGACGCCGCCTCCCCCCTCTGCACAGTCACTTCCTCTGAGAGAGAGAGAGAGAAGGGGGGAGGAAAGAGAGAGAGATAGACTGACATAGAAAAAGAGAGAGGGAGGAGGAGGAGACAGAGGAAGGAGGAAGCCATCTTGGTTCCTCAGTCGACCTGACGTCTTCTTCTGTCGAGTTTCTTCTTCTGTCGTCTCGAGACTCTTCTCTCAGACAAAGTCGTGATCTTCTTCCAGGAAGTTCGACTGAAACTGAAGACGCCGTTTCTTCTTCTTTTTCTCCGAGTCTTGAGGAGAAGTTTGTTTCGTCTCCAGCAGGAAGGAAGGAGCGGCGAGGAGCGAGGAGCAAGGCCCGTCCACCTGTCGCAGAGCAGACGTCCAAGAAGAAGAAGCAGGACATCTGAAGACCCTGATCCAGGTCCTCCTCCTCAGCAGGTCTGTGGTGATGGTCTCCTGGTGAACCTGGACATCAGCTGATTGGACGAGAGTCTCACCATGAGTTCAGATCGGGTCCCGTCCAGGTCAGAGGTCATGGGGTGGAGTCCCCAACAGCTGGCAGACTACCTGAAGAGGGTGAGACACACACACACACACACACACATACACACACACACACACACACACACACACACACACTCCTGTTCCCTCTGTTGTCTCAGCGGGTCTCATGGACTTTAAGGTCCTCCTCCTGCTCTTCTTCTTCTTCTTCTTCTTCTTCTTAAATTCTCATTCGTTGACCAACAGGAAGTGTTCCTGTCAGAGCTGATCTCTGATTGGACAAAGAGCCAAAGATAGAGGAGGCTAATGTTAGCACGTTAGCTTGATCAGAATGTGGACTCAGACCTGGTCCACACAGTCAGTCTGTTCTCCTCAGGTCTGCCAGCAGAGGGCGCTGTTACACCTTCAACACACACACACACACACACACACACACACACTAGTGTATCTGTGTGTGTGTGTGTCTCACAGAGGTGGTTAGGGTCTCAGTTTCACTGTTGAACAAAGATGTAAATGACCTTTGACCTCCTCCTCTCTGGTTCTGGTCCAGATGAATCTGCCCGGCTGTGATAAAGTGGTTCTGAAGAACTCCATCAGCGGGTCCAGATTCGTGGTGAGTGAAAACAAACATTTAAAACTGGATTTAAAACGAGGAAAGGAGGTAAGGAAAGGAGGTGAAACAAGGAAGGGATGTAAGGAAAGATCTCAAAGTTAAGGATGTGTCCTTCTCTCCTCTTTTGTCTCCTCAGACTCTGACCGACATCGACCTTCAGAAGTTTCCCAAACCGTACGCTCCGTAAGTTTTTTTTATTACTTTATTTAAACCCTGTTTGTGAACAGTTAGGGTCTCTGAATAAACTTTATTTAAACTCTGTTTGTGAACAGTTAGCGTCTGTAAATAAACTTTATTTAAACTCTGTTTGTGAACAGTTAGGGTCTCTGAATAAACTTTATTTAAACCCTGTTTGTGAACAGTTAGCGTCTGTAAATAAACTTTATTTAAACTCTGTTTGTGAACAGTTAGCGTCTGTAAATAAACTTTATCTAAACTCTGTTTGTGAACAGTTAGCGCCTGTAAATAAACTTTATTTAAACTCTGTTTGTGAACAGTTAGCGTCTGTAAATAAACTTTATTTAAACTCTGTTTGTGAACAGTTAGCGTCTGTAAATAAACTTTATTTAAACTCTGTTTGTGAACAGTTAGCGTCTGTAAATAAACTTTATTTAAACTCTGTTTGTGAACAGTTAGGGTCTCTGAATAAACTTTATTTAAACTCTGTTTGTGAACAGTTAGCCTCTGTAAATAAACTTTATTTAAACTCTGTTTGTGAACAGT